AAAAATTCTATTAGATTTTAAATATAACAATAGTAACTTTATTAAATGTTCTCGTTCTATTTATTATGTTTCCAATGTGCGTCTATCTAAAAAATTTTTTTACAATAAAGTATTAATAAGATATTTTTCAAATAAACGAAATTTATCAAATATGAAAAATACTTATCGGCAAATACATCCAGAAATCCTTAAAAAACCATTATTATGTAATAAGTATATTCCACAAACCATAAGAATTTCTACTAATTCTATCATTATTAATAGTACTAGAAAATATTCAAATACAGCTCCTAAAATTATAAATGAAGTTGCTGCATATAATAATGGAATTTTTCAAATGATTTCTGAAAGCTTACCTGTGGAATTGGTTACAGAAGTTTTAAGATTGATGCATTATCAAACAGGTTTACCATGGTGGGCAAGTATCATGCTTACTTCAATTATAGCAAGAACAATTATAAATCTACCATTAAATATACTTGATGTAAGTATTATTATTATTTGATCTTAATTTTCTTTATTTTTTAAAAATATGTTATATAATCTTTATCTCAGGTTCACACAAAAGCAAAACAAGAAAATTTGAAATTTGAATTGAAGGAAATTGCAGAGAAAATACAAAATAAAGTGCAAAAGGAAGTAATATCTTTAAAATTATCTCCATATCGTGCACGTTATCTTTTTACACGTGATGTATTTATTTATTCTTTTATACATATAAACTAACTTTTTCAATTTATATCAATTTAATTAAAGAATTAATTTTTTACCTTTTATGATAGTTTAATAAGGAACAAAAACAATTATACATAAAAAATAATTGTCATCCATTTAAAAGTGTTGCTATAATATTATTACAAACACCAATATGGATAAGTTTCTCGGTTGCAGTAAGAAATATATGTTATATGTTGCCTCAAGTAAATACTGGTAAGTAAGACATTTTTCTGTTTTATTTAATATTTTTTTTTTTTTTTTGTATTGTAATAAGTTTTAAAAATTTTATTGTTAGCTACTCTCCAAGACTTTAAGGAATTGACTACTGGTGGTTTTGGATGGATACAAAATCTCATAGATATAGATCATTATTTTATATTACCTTCTCTATTTGGACTTTCAAACTTAGCTATATTAGAGGTATGTATAGAAATATTTATTATATTAAATTTACATAATATTAATATCAATATTATTTTATTAAAATTATATATTTTTTCAGATAAATCAAGTATTATTTCATGTAAAAGATTCAAAGTTTAGTAGAATTTATAAGAATTTCTGTAGAGTACTTATAATTGGTTTTATACCATTAATGGCATGTTTGCCATCGGTATGTTATATTTTTAAAAATAAATAATCTAATTTTTTCTAATATTTATTATATTAAATCGCAAATATTTCAGTGTTTATCATTGTTTTGGGTCACCAATAATTGCTGTGCAATAGTATATAATCTATTGCTTCTATCTCCAAAAGTTCGTCGATTAGGAAAAATACCTAAAACCGATTCTGAACTCAGGCGTCCATATACGGAATTATATAAACGATTATTAGAAAAATTATATTTAAGGAAATTTTTAGCATAAATATAATGCTAATGTAACATAGAAATAAAACTGAATATCTTTTTTCTCATGCCGAATGTATAATTTATTAAAAAAGATAATAAAGAAATAATTATTAAAGTATTATTAATAAATATATTAGTATACGATATTGTAATATTATATATTATGATATTAATTGTAAGATTTATTTCATCTATGATTGATCCGCACCTTTGATCCTGATAGAACTAAGGTCGTAAAAAGTGTTTATGTTTAATTGTAAAAATAGAAATGAAGATGACAAAAAAAATTCACTTCTGGTGATAACGCATTAAATCATATTCTGCATTTATGCTTAGAAGATACGTATATATAAAATTCACTTCATTAGCAAACAACATACTTCAACGAACGGGTTTGAACAGAAATCATGGCTAATATCAAGTTTTTCACATTTTTGCTGTGCATCATTCTCTGTGTCGATTTCTTCTGTAAATTAGCGACAGTGCGTATATTTCGTTTTAATTATCAATTACTAATATTTATTTATTAATTACTACATTAATTTATTACTAACATTTTAATAATTCGTATATTTTGGTTCAATTTGTGATTAAATTTTAATTATAATATGATCATACCATTACTTTATATATATATTATTTATAATAGATTTATTAATTTATACAATTTATTAATTTATACATATTGTAATTCAATAATTTTTAGGGAGAAGTTTATCCTTATCCAGGCGATTGCTCAAAATATCAACATTGTGATAATAGTGGTTGTTTTATTATAAGTTGTGGCGCAGGGACAGAATTTAATCCAAATATTGGTACTTGTGATTATCCTTTGGCAAATCGGGGGGACTGTAATAATCGATATTAAAATTTTAAAATATTTATGAAACAATCATAATGTATACAGTATATGTTTATATAACATAAATTTACTATACGATACAAATTTTTGTTTAGAAATTATTGTTTTTGAAATAATTATCTTACTTATAAAATTACGTTAAATATAATAGAAATAAAATAAAATAATGTTTCCATCGAATGTATATCAAAATTGATAATCATAATTAAAAAGTATATTCATACATAATTATGTAAACAATATGTCCAATAAAAATTTTAATTTCATTTCAAGATTTTATAAATAATTATAATAGAATTGTTATCAATATCTTTCCCAATCCTAGCATAACTAAAATCGTAAAAAACTCTTATTTTATTTTACATATGATTATCAGAAATATCAGAAATGATGATTACGAAGAAATTCATTTTAAACATTTTTATAGCATTCATCATTTTCCTTATTATGTTTCGAAGATATAAAATCCATTTCATTAAAAAACATATTTTAAAGAACGAATTGAAAATTACAAGAATAAATTACACAATTATAAGAACAACATAAAATCATGGTTAGTATTAAATTTTCTGTACTTTTGTTGTGCATTATTTTCTGTATCAGCTTCTGAAATAACAATTAAATGTATATTATAATTATACAATATAATTTTTATTTTATACTTTTATAATTTTTTGTGATATTTATTATATAATTATTCAATCATTATAATTTATGATATGTTTAAATAAATAAAATTTATGAAATTTATACTATTAATATATTATACTATTAATATAATATTATCAATATGGTTTAAAACTCAATAATAAGGATTTTTTGTAACATTGAATTGTTTGAGCTTGTTCTCGTCTCCCTATTAAAAGAAAATAAAAAAATTTTATTTAGTTTAAATAAAAACTAATGTTATTCCTAGAAGAAATATTATGGACTGTAACTGACTCATTGTTTTTCTAATGAGTATCGTTGTCAATTGTTCATTTAACCATGATTAAATGGTTTAACATTGGCTGCAAAAAGTATAGAAACGATCTTCATTCGTGTGTCAAGCAAATCATTTAGTAAAATATTTTGAAAAAAAAAGACATTAAATAAATAATTTTCTCAATCATTCATTCATTAAAAATTTTTATACTGTCCATTTAACTGCTATAATTTATAGTCACATTAAGTATAATGCGTTGTTGTATTATAACAAATATATATCAATCAGTTTTGCATGCGAAAAATGACATTTCGGTCGTTAATCTTATTATATGCATTTTGATCGTTTCCAGTGCTAAGAAAGTGAAAGTGGTGGTAAACATATGAATATAAACGATATCTGGTTTATACGAACTGATTCAATTCGATTTCTTTTATCACGAACATCGTGTATATTTTCACATTCTCGCACGATTTCTACTATCGATAGTTGCTCTTGAGACCAGAAGCTATTCTAGAATATTATTTATCGTCCATTTTTTAATAATTATTATCACTTTTATATTACTTCTGGATTACTGTATAATATAAAAAATTAAAATTCTTTTATTTTCAAACATTTTTAATTGTAAATATATATCTATAATCTTTCTACCCATTATTCGATTCATTATAATTTTATATACAAGATAAATCGAGGAGGTTAAAAGATCGACACAATGTCAAAATTAGATTTTCCTTAAATATTCTTTATCTTTTATATTCAACTGTGATTTCTATCATCCTTCACATTCATTCACAGAAAGAATTCAAATTAAAAGGATTGCAAAAAATAAAAAAAATAGTTGGTATGCCGGAACGGAGGTATAGTGCAACGAAGAAAATTATTTATCCAAGAAGCACGCAGCTTCTTCGTTCATTCCTTTTCTGGCTTCGTTCATAGAAGAAGAACATTTTTTGAAAATGTTTCAGATCGTGTCGTTTAATCATCCATCTATTTATCACGCATCCACGAAAATATAACATAAAAATAATGAGATCACGAAGAGAGAGAAGATATTTCCTTCGATTGTATCATTCGATTATTCATCCATTTCTCGCATTTATATATCAATAAGAAAAATATAATGTAACACTACTAATAAAATCACGAAAAAAGTGAATCATCGTGCGTGGAATCTCTTATTTCTTTCTCGTTCCAACCACTTGAATGTTTTCAGCGGCCTCTTTATCAGATCCCAGAGTCTGATTGTTGTCAACGAGGGCCAATTTGTTCTCTCCGGAGTCAATTGGCAAACAGTTCTGTGTACATTCGCTTTATTAACGTGTTGATAAAACCACACTAGCCTCTCTCCCTTCCACCAAATAAGATTCTCTTTGAACGATCCCATTCTCTCTCTCTCTCTCTCTCTCTCTCTCTCTCTCTCTCTCTCTCGTCTTTCTTTTCCTCGGAACAGTTTCGATCATTCGTCTTCTTGGCTCGTTCGTCTCGCATCAGCCTCGAGTCGACTTCTTTTTCCGGGAGGCGATCTCGACCCTCGACCTCCATGACTGATAACCCCTTTCCATTCTTCGTAGCATCTTTCTCATCCAAAGGAACTTCGTATCTACAGCTTTCTCGGTAAGTACGCGATCGTGATCAAACGACGGTTTCATTAGGAAAAACCAGATCATCCAGCCGCGATAGAGGCAGTATAGTCGAGGATGATGTCGCGGTATACCGGTCGTTCCCTCGTTTTCATTGTACTTCGTCTATGTTTCGTCGTCGCAGTCGCCCACGCGGTACGTGATTCTACTCTTCTTATTGCTCTTTCACACCGGAAGGGTGCTTCTTTGGTTACGCGGTTTCAACAACCTGGCGGGAAGATTTGTTTAAGGATTGATGATGATGGCTAGAATCGATGATGAGAAAGATTTATTCTCGCCTTCCTTTTATTTCGATCTCTTTGAATGTTGATCTGAATTTTAATTGTTTGGATGTTTTTTTTTTTTTGATGCGGTGAATTTTTTTTCTTTTTGATGATTTTGCAGGGAAGATTTCTTTGTGAATGTTTGTGTTATTGTGAGGAACGTGTGGTGATGAATTGATCGAAGAAAATGAACGGCAGTTTTGTCCAATTTTATGAACATCATTGATTTTTCTATTTTGAAAACGATTTTAGAAAACGATTTAGCGGATTTGGAGGATTAATTAGAGATGAAATTTGTGACGTTTTGGTAATTGGATTTGGTTTTTGCGCAAATTGTTGATTATTATTAAATCTTCTACGTAGTAACTGTTTTTCGTTCTTAATTGTGATCGTCTCTAGAAGTATGTTATTAATATTTATTAACTAGATAAGCGCTGATAAGGTGGACGATAAAAGTAAAGAATATGGTCTGAAATAATTAAAGCAGAAAAATTGGTCATATGTGTAGGTTACTTTCGATAATGATTTTCAATGATTCTCTTTGTTTGTATCGTTGCTTGTTTCTGTGATGGCAAAATGTACAAAATTTAATACATTCGTGTACAACAATAGTATTATTTTTAAACATTTGTTTAAAAGTGTCATGTGTTTTTTTTTCGCATTCAAAATTAAATTGTTGATTCAGATCAATTTAAAAATCTATTATCATTCTTCATAATTCTATGTAACATATCAATCTATCAAAATTTAAGTACATTTTAAGTACTTTTATCACACTTTTCTCAATTTTTAATTTACACGTAGATCTATGATCCCAAAGAAACGACAACAAAACCGCCAAAACGAAGAGAACCAGTGCTTCCTTGGTATTCACCTGGTCCAGTCGATTCCAACGAAGATCTATCACGTTCTGCAAAATGGCAAGTGGATTCAGATTACCCGATTCCTCGAAAACCGTACGTAATAGAGGCTGGGACGAAAACTTGGAGCCCCTGGAAAAAGAACAAGGGAAGTGAGATCGAGCAGAGAACAGAGATCACGAGTGATTCTCAAAGCACGACAAATTTTGAGCAAGATGACGATCTTTCTTCGAAGTACAATAATCAACAGAAAAATGAACAAATAGGGATAAAAGATGAAAAATATTACGAAGGAGTACCTGCTGACAGCACGGTAATAATTTATTTGAAAATTTGTTATAAATAATTTTATACAAATATTGACTTTGCTCAGATTTTACTTCAAAAAGTTAGAAACATTATTTTGATTACGTTTATCTCGAACGTTAAATATAAGGATCGTTGAAAAGTAAAATTCATTATCTCAATTAAATTTTATTAATATTGGATATTTCAGCATCTACTTTGTTGGAAGTTTTCCTCAATGACAATAATATAATTTTTCTTAAAATTTTTGTTACTTTTCCAGAAACCTCGCGAAGAGAAAATTCTTGTTTCAACGGAAACGAAATGGACAGTGGCTCGATATGACTCGAAGCATGGCGTTCAATGTCCGGAATTCGATTCGACTGGACAATTCGTATATCCCCCGGATTGCAAATTTTTCGTGAACTGTTGGAAAGGCAGAGCTTTCGTTCAAGCATGTGCTCCTGGTACACTCTTCAATCCAAACACGTTGGAATGCGATTTTCCGCAAAAAGTGAAGTGCTATGGGGAGGAAATTAACAATTATTATAATTTTCCAACGATCGAGCATTTAGATTCTTCTAGGCTGCAGGTCTAAATTTAATTAGACATTAATTGAAGTTAATTTGGTCTTTATTGTAACTAAGATTTACAAAATATTTTTTGTTGTAAATTTCAACAGGAGCCAAAATGTCCGCCTCATGTAACAGGATTGATAGCACATCCCTCGGATTGTACAAAATTTTTACAATGTGCCAATGGAGGAACGCACATAATGGACTGTGGTCCTGGCACCGTGTTCAATCCTGCTGTTATGGTTTGTGATTGGCCACGCAATGTAAAGGGTTGCGAAGGTAACAAAATATTCAAAATAATTAAAATTATACGTGTAATTATGCGTTGAAAATTATTATGAATTTATGGAAAATCCAAATTATTCTATTTAGTTTTCTGTTTATATAAAAATATAAATTCGTATAATAATTTATTGATATCACATTCTTTTAATATAGATGCTTTGAAATCTGAAGAAGAGACGACAAAACCATTGGTTCCTCCTGATTACGAGGATCACGATGAAAGATTGCGATATGAAAAGCCTCAACCAAAGAAAATTACCTGTCCCGACGATTACACAGGATTGTTACCGCATCCAGAAACATGTAAAAAATTCCTTCAATGCGCGAATGGTGGAACATTTATCATGGACTGCGGCCCTGGTACTGCTTTCAATCCTACCATCTCTGTCTGTGATTGGCCATATAATGTCCCTGGTTGCAAGGAAGGTAACTATTATGTTAATAAACCGTGATATAATAAAAATCACGAAGATCTTCTGCTCTACTTAATCCTAATTTCACGAATTTCAATCCAGATAAGCAGCAACCGGTCGATACTTCCTTCAAACCTGGGCCATCTCACGGTTCCTCCGATTCGAGAACTTGGCATCATTCTCACAAATACAATCACACGTCACAAGGTAATTAGAAATCAGATTGCACGTTAACAGCACTACGTTTCAACCATGTTTCATTTAGGAACGGTTTGGGATCCTTTGAAACCGACATGGAGGCCAATCTTGAAGAAGCCAACCGCTTGGCCGTCCTATTCTCCAACTAATTGGGATAGATCGGATTCAAGTCCTCCACAGCCACAATGGCCTCATCATCACGAGTCAAGTGATCGAAATTATAACGATAGATTCCATCATTATCACCATCACCATTTTCATTCACCAACGCATGATCCCAAAGACACTGAAACGCAGCAACCTGTTCCTCCGTTCCATCAACCGCATCCTCAAACATCTGGAAACCAGGGAGCCGAAAATTGGCATTTCAATCATGGACACCATCACGAACATCATCATTATTATCACGGTAGGCCTCAAGATAGGCCTCAAGATATTGTTCCTAGTAATCCTTGGACAGCCGAAGAAACCGATCAACAGTCTACCTTTGACACGAGAAAAGATCACGAAGGTACTTTGAATCAAGGATTCGATCATCGTGGTACTCAAGATAGGCCGGAAACTGTTCCTACTAATACTTGGACAATGGAAGAAACTGGTCAGCAGGCTCAAAAGCCCACTTTTGACATGAAAAAGGATACTTTTAACGAGGAATTCGATCATAGAGATACTCAAGATAGGCCGGAAACTGTACCTAGTCATACTTGGACGGTCGAAGAAACTGGACAACAAGCGCAAAGACCTACTTTTAGTGAATTGGGCAAAGGCAATGTTCCATGGAATGAAGATAGTAATCAAGAATCCGCGTCTAATAGACAGGAGAGGATGGGTCCTGGATTTTCGCAGACAGGATCTGATGAAACTTCGATTTATGCTAATCGTAATTATCAACCAGTGGATAACTCGAGATCCGACACGCAGATTGTAGGGAACAGAAGAATTTGGAATCAAACCAGATTGACGGGAAATGGTTTCAATAATTGGAATCAACAGGGACGAGGACAAATGCCAAATCGACATTGGGATCAAGGTGATTTTTAATTTTTCTTTCTTAAATTTGATGGATCAATGTATTTATACGATTAAGGAAAGGATTAAATTTGAAATTGATATTTGGAAATTTTAAACAATTTTCTTAATGAGAATTTATTAAAATTTTATTTGTTGGTTATAAAGCATGTTTGTATTGAATAAAGACATAGCTTGAAGCATGAGGGTTATCGTTCTAATAGCATGTTATGTTGCACATAAGCATGGAAAATTAATTTTTACGCAAATGGGATTTATATAGAAAAATTCTACAGTCTGAAAATGTAAAAATGTCTTTTTAGACAATTTTTTTCTACAATAAACTGTAAGTAAAATTATATAACAAAAATAATCAGTCAATATGTATATAATCTTCATTTTGGACAAATCAAGATATTGATTACCAGCAAAAAACAGGTAAATACTTTGACAATTACAATAAAATTAAATGTTAAATAAATTATAACAAAATTTATAAATTTACGTATTTGTATCGTTTTATTGGGTAAAGATTTTATTTTTCTGATATAATATAAAATATAAAATGCAATAAACAATTTTAAAAATTGATCATTTTCAGATCCTGTTAACAAGGATGACAAATTCCGTGAAGGAAAATTTAGACCTAATATTTATCAAAGTACAGCTGATAGACAAGCAGATTCTAAGTTAGATACGTGGGCATCGAAAACGAACATTTTTCAGCATTTTAAAGGCCTATTTGGACCAGGTATGCGAATTAAAGACTCATTTTAATATATTTAAAATAGCGAAAGAAAATTCTATAATCAAATGATATATATTAATTTAAATATTTTGTCTCTGTTATCACGAATTATATACTTTACATATTTTCTTTCATTATATATTTTCTTTCTTTATATTCTTTTATATTCTTTTATTTATATTTTATATATTTTCTTTAATTTTTATTACAGGAATAAAAAATACAGCATTTAATTCAACGAAGCTTAATCCAAATGGTACAAGAGGTCATTTTATCACAAAAGAAATCGAAGTGAATCAAGGCCACTCGAAAACGAGAACTTATAGACCGAACGATCTTTCGGGTCTGAATGAATTCAACAAAAGTGATAAAAGTGATAAAAATATCTATATCGATTCCCAAACAAACATCGATAACATACCACTTACGGTTCTTCAACCACCACCCATTAGTTCTAACAATCATCCTTCTGGCTCCAACAATATCCTACGAAATACGAATAATTCTTTTGGTGGACATCGAACTCAAAGGTATCATTGGATACATAACTCTTCTACGAATTCTGGAAATTTGGCACCCTCTGGTAATATTTATTTTCAATTGTCGCAATTTTATTTATCACAATTTCATTCAATGAATTTATGAATTAATCTAAATTATTATTATTTTCTCAGGCGGTAATTATAACAATCGTGTATTCGTGCCGTCACTGGAACTTCAACCACCATATCCATCCCTTAACAAATCTCTGGCTCTGCCATTTTTATTAAATTTCTCAGGAGGCAACAATTATTCTTCAATACCATCCCCCAATTTGCAACCACCAGACAACCACCAATCTACAAATAACTTTTCTATCGGTTGGCAATTGCCGGGTGTCTCAATCGAACGCGAGTTGCCAACTTACGAGAATCGAAACAATCGTACCAATTTTCAACCCCTGAGTCAATTGACTCCTCCGGTTTTCGAATCGAACGTCACTGACCGATATCCAAACGTTCCATCGACAAATCTCGAACCACCTGACCAAGAATTCAATAATTTCTTCAACGAATCCGTCGTCAACAACACGACACGAAAGATTCCGCCTTTGACAATTCCATCAAGGAAAAGATTCGTCAACATCACCACCGAAAACAGTGAAATTTCGACGACCGATCCAAACGTGCCTACCGTGTGGATAGATTACGAAAACTCTTCGACGATCGGGCATCTGGACATCGTCGAGCCTGCGTCCGAGGAATCTGAACCCGTGGAATCTGTGGAACTGTTGAACGACAAGAAAGAGTGGAAACCTGTATTGGTTTTTAAAAATGTAACTGAAACGACCACGAAAGCTTCTGTTATCATGAAGATCAATAAGAAGAACGTGGATGTAGATCTTTTCAATGTAGACGCTGCCCCTTTCGCGAAAGGTAAGTTTAATGTTGGTCTTCGTTTGGTCTGGTTTTCATGTTGTGATCGTTTTTTTATCTGTAAAGGTTCGACGAAGTACAGGTAAGGTTCTCTCTTCTTTTTTTATACTTTTGCACAATTAATTGGCTTTTGGCATGTTTTTGGAAACTATTTGTTAATCATTGTTAATCATGCTTGAAAGAATAATGATTAGACTGAGGACATTTTTGTCCAAATCTCTGTTAGTCGTAATCAAATGCAAATTTAATTTTGTCATTTCATAATAACATATATGTGATAATAATAATTGATAAGTGATCTGTTTAGTTGCTTTAAAATTAAAATTAAATATTACTTATCGATTTAAATACACATAGAATATTTTATCTATTATTTTTTGATATTATTCTAGATGTTTTAAAGTTTGATTCTAAATGGAAAAAATATTATTTTACAGAGGAGCCACCATTTCCATCGTACTATATACCACCAGTGGAACCATTAGATCATTCCAAGAAGACTGCTATGCCAACACCAATTTCCGGTCAGGTATGAATCGTTGTATTGTTAAAGTTGTTCTGAAGTTATAAATAATTTATTAAGTTTTGCTGGCGAAATTTCTCTAGGTGATTCGACTTAGAGGAGGGTCTGGACCTCACGATGGATACGTAGAAGTTCAAGGCACGAATCCCGGATGGGGAATCGTTTGTGACTCGAGAAATGGTTGGACCTTAAAAGAAGCACATGTCGTATGCAAACAACTTGGATATACCAGGTATTTTAAATTTATTCCATATTATTCAAATTTCAAGATAGTAAGAATTAGAATTCTGTATAAACTTGTATTAATTTAATTTTAAGACAATGAAGATTACTTTTTAATCTTAAGACAAAGAATTTCATGATATTATTGATTAGTTTTTTATTATTATTTTTTATTTATTATTGATAAATTTATTTTGCATACTTTATGGAAATGTTCTAAGGAAGGAAAATTGTTTCAAATTTTTCACAGGGGCGCCGAGATGGCTTGGCAAGGGAGAAATGGTCGAAATGGCATGCCAACTTGGATAGCCGCAAATTCTGTCTCGTGTCAAGGCGACGAGGATAAATTTCAATCGTGCAAGTAAGACGCCACGTATCAATGACAATGTCTTTTTACAGATAAAACAGTTTTGATATCAAATGACGTTAAAACAACAGCCAAAGCAAACATTGCATAAATTATCTAGATAATTATCGCACGTTAAGAAACACTTTATTAAGAAATATCGGGCTGAATTAAAAAATTTTACTTCGTTGAGCTTCGAGACAAAATTATTTTAAAAAATCGTGTCTCGTTCTTACGCAATGTTCAACAAATGTACACATTTCGTCACGATTCTCGTAATTTTTTTTACATAATAAATACGTAGAATAGATGTTTTATTGCGTTAAGAATTTTTTCTTTAAATATTTTCATAGTATGATAACTCATGATGCAATTATAATGCAACCATGATGCAATTTGCATGCAAGTACATTCTGATATTATTCATTGATATATATATTTCTCTCTAATTATACTGACATTCATATATTTCAATTTTTCATTTTCATAGAAATCATCTCCAAAAAATTCCTTAAATTTGGATATATTATCTATCCTCTCCATTCCAAAATTTCAAATATCTTTTCACATAGTGAAAAAATTAAATAAAATTTATAAATAAAATTTTCTCATTTTTTACAAAATAATTTTACAAAAAATTATAATTAAAATTTTACAAAATATTTCCATAACTTCTGCAATTGCTTTTACAATTTCTTTTATTGCTCAAATTTCTTTAACGCGACAACGTTACTTTATTTATAATTTTCCAGATTCACACACGTGCAAGAGTGTCGAGTGGAAAGGGACGCGATTGGAGTAAGATGCGCGCTAAATCGGGTCGCCAACTGTCGCAAGGATGAAGTACCATACGAAGGACAATGTTATCATTTGGCGGAGGCTGAGAGCGGCTTGAATCATCAAGAAGCTTTGGATTATTGCAAGAATAAGGATTCGAGACTCTTAGATATCACGAACCAGGAGGAAAACAATTTCATCTCTGAATGGTTGGTTCAAGAGCAACCAGAAATCGCCTCGATCATGACTTCCGGTGTTGGTTTCACCACCATGGGTCATAGCTTGTGGATCTGGGAAGATTCTTCCCGTGCGAAATTTAGGTAGATCGTCGTTTTTTTTCTTTTTTCAAAATTTTTAAGAAAATATATTTTATATTAAAATACGGAGAATAATGATTGTAGAAATTAGATTCCATTGTTCCTATTCCAAAGATTAATGATATTTATTGTCCGTATGATAACACGTTTATCAGTATATTAATTAATTGCAATTAGGTTTACCAAATGGTGGCCAGGTTGGATGGAAGATAATAAACAACCTCCGTCCGTGGGTATCCGCCCACGTTGTATCGTAATGAAGAGGAAATTTCCATGCCACGAAAGACCAGACTCGATTTGCGTTGCTGATTACTTCTTCTGGGAAGCTGAAGACTGTGCGTCCTCCAATAAAGGCCACTCTTTCATTTGCAAAAGGCCTTATGACGACATCGGTGCGAATTTTATTCTTTAATCAGCGTTATTTTACCATAATTGGCCCCTTTATTCTCATTGATACTTTATATCTCGAAACGAACGAAATTTAGCATTATTGTTTTTCAATACATTTTCACTTAAAAAAGATATACTACTTTGAAAATTTGAAAAGAATATAAGAAAATTTAAAAGGATGTATATTCATCTTTTTCAGGTTGTATTTATGGAAAGGGAAGTCAATACGCCGGAAACGCGAGTGTATCAGCTTCGGGGAAAGATTGTTTATCATGGGGAGACGAGAAAGTCGCTTATCCACTTGAAATAAATGTTAGTTCTCGAATGCTTATATTTTTCTACTTTTCTTCTAATTGGAAAAGAACAATTTTTTTTAAATGCTAGATTATCTATAAAACAAAAAAAAATGCCATCTTTAGGTTGTTAATCGAGAAATAAGAGAAAAATTGAAAAACCACAATTACTGCAGAAATCCGAATCCGAACAGAGAGAACAGACCATGGTGTTTCACAGGACCACGTGCAGAACGTGAACATTGTGATATTCCACCTTGTGGAAATATAGGTATACAACAGGAGGAGATTTTTTAAAATTCTAACTTTTATCAGTTTTGTTTGTATCAATCGTGCAATTATTTCCTCAGGTACTCAAAGGCGTTCGGTGAGTCAATGCAAACCTAAGCATTTCGAATGTTTACCAGGAGAATGTATTCCATCGCCATGGGTTTGCGATGAAGAAGAGGTAACTTTTTTCTTAGATAAAGTTTAAACGGAAAATTTATAGGAAAAAAAGTAATCTAATTCAAAAAAAAAGAAAAAAGGAAATCTTACGTTAAATAATTAAGAATGAAGAAAAATCATGAATGAATTTTAAATGTATTTTTAAAATTTTAAGGATTGTACGAACGGAGCGGACGAGAGAGATTGCGTCTCGCACATGTACCTCTTCAAAAAATACTCGAAGCAAAAATTAGAGGGATATGACGTTGAAAAGTGGTTGAACACACCGCTGAAGACGTGTGCTCTCAGATGCAAAGAGGCTGATTTCACTTGTCGATCTTTTGCACATAAGTAAATAAGTAGATTATTACTTCTATAAATTGAAAAAAAAAAAGAATACTGTAACTTTTAATACTTTGATTGATTTTTCAGAGCTATAGAAAATATTTGTCTTCTGAGCGACAGTAATATAGGAATGACAGGAAAGTTGAAACCCAGCACGGAATTCGATTATTACGAGATGAAGGACAGGAGCATGAACTGCGAAGGAATGTTCGTTTGTGAAAATCAGAAGTGCATAAATCAAAGCCAAGTGTGCAATGGAAAAAATGATTGCCACGATCGGAGCGACGAGAGTATTTGCACTGTACAAAATTTGGATTACGAGATTCGGCTGGCTGGTTCAGATTATGATAACGAAGGAAGAGTTGAAGTCAAGAGTAAGTAAATTATTTATTGCGTGACGATCGATGAAAATCACAGAACTTTTTCAAGTGTAATTGAAAAAATGATGAAATATAAGCAAAAATCTATTTCGATTTATGATGTTAAGAATCTTTGCAGTTTTGGGAATTTGGGGACAAGTGTGCGACGATGGTTTCGGAATGATCGATGCCGATGTAATTTGCAAAGAGCTTGATTTCGTTCTTGGCGCTTTGGAAGTGAAACCAGGAGGGTTTTATGGAAATATGGATCCATCGACAAGATTTATGGTCGATCAATTAAGATGTCGAGGAAACGAAACTTCCTTACGCGAATGCGACTTTGAAGGGTAATTTGAATAAAAATGTTAAATAAAAAATAAAATAAAACTTTCGCCTTAAATGTAATTATTCTAAAATAATTTCAGAAATAATTTCTGAAACACGTTCCATTTTTTACAGTTGGGGTGTTCATGATTGTCAACCAGAAGAAGCTGTAGGTATCGTTTGCAAGACTGCAGTCAATACTTGTCCAGACGGCCAATGGAAGTGTGACAACAGCCCGATGTGTATTTCAACTGCATTTATATGCGACGAGGTTGTCGATTGCAAAGACGGTTCAGACGAGAGCCCCGAACATTGCAATGTGAGCAACAAAAACTAGAATAATCACACCCAATTAGATAACAAGATTTTTAAAAAAATATTAAAATACATAAATTTTCACTTTCAAACCACATTTCACTATTCAAAACATTTCAATATAAATTTTGACCATAAAATATTCTTTAAAAAAATAAAGAAATTCATGATTTTTTACATTCGATAGATAAAAGAAAGCGCGCTATTTAAAACCTATTTTGTTTCATAATGATATCTCAATTCGTTTCCGAGATATAATCTCGAATTATAACGCGCCAAATTATATAATATGAATGGGGTTTAAAACCTTCTTTAAAGACTATGACCTACTTTTTTTTCTTGGAAATATGTACGCACGGTTATTAGTGGTAAAAGAAAAATGCTGAGTCATCGTCTACCGTTGACCAACGCACGTGGGGTAGGTTAGTGAAAGCGAGTGAGAACGTTGCGAAGATCGAGAGGCAAGACGCGATTGCCGAAAATTACGTTTCGCTTTGAATCGCCATATCTCCGGAACGGGATATGATATCGACTTGAAACAAAAAGCATTTTAAAGGAGAAGGTTTTCTGCTTCCTAGAACGTCGGTAGTATCGCGTTATAACTATGTGCTTGGAATTGAGAGGCGATCGAAAAATAAGTTTAAATGGATATATGAAAAGTTCGAAATGAATCAATTTTGGAGTAATTCGATGAAAAGTATGAATTAAGTATACTATATTTTTTGGAATAATATGTTATGTTTTGGTGATTTATTAAGTCTGGAATTAATTAAGTGGAATTTTTCGGATAATTTTTGAAGATTCGAAAAAAATGGGATTGAAATGTGATTGAATATTATTTTAGGCACCGTTCGAGATACGTTTGTCAAATGGAAATACGCCTTACGAGGGAAGGGTCGAAGTTCGTCATCATGGCGTGTGGGGTACCGTTTGTGACGATGATTTCTCGAATGCAGCTGCTACGGTGATTTGCAGGTCTTTAGGATTCGGTGGGCGTGCTCTGGCAAAGAAAGATGGATATTTTGGACCAGGAAAGGGCCCGATATGGCTCGATGAAGTAAGTTTCGTCGCCGTTAAAAAATATAACTCATTGTTAACGATATATGTATTTTTTCACATATATGTCCTTTGAAATGATCCAAGAATTGAAAAAAATTTCATTTGCACATCACGTTTCTGCGGATTGTCTCTTCGGTGTTAATTAAATCGGAATTTATTTCTCGAACCAAGGTTTTCTGCTATGGAAACGAGACTCAGCTGAATCGATGCGAACACAATCATTGGGGTGAGCATAATTGCAATCACGAAGAGGACGCAGGTGTGATTTGTACACCTGGAGATGTTAACGATTCCAAGGTAAATCGAAATATTCCCTCTCGATGGAGGGATAGTTTAATTGTAAGTTAAATCGTAATTTTTTTGGATTTATATTTAATCAAATCTTATATATAGGTTAAATAAATAACTGTGATGTGAACAAATTGAAAATTAGGATATTAATTTGTCATTCAATAATTTGAAATAAAATCCAAAATTAATTTTATATTAAAACAATTTTAAGAAACGAATATATACTTGAATATTAAAAAAGAATATAAGAAATAAAATTTAAGAGTAATTCATAGTCATCATTATCGATCAGTTAATTAAACTTAATTCAAGAATAAAATTTATTTTTATATAATGTAATATTTGTATATGTATGTATATATATATAAAGAAAAAAGAACATATTAAATATTATTAAGAAATTTAGTTAACTAGTATTTTGTAATAGTAAACTATCGATAGATTTGTAAACAATCGATAACACACTCAATCTTACTTCAATAAATGATCAACTTGCGCAAGATCGACTTGTTTACTTCAGTCCTTAACCCTGACCGTATCTCCCTTCTCCATTCTCTAATCTACGAATGCAGTTATCGAATAAATAATTGCAGTTCAACTGGGATATTGCACCGGCTATACCGGAGAAGAACATCAATGATATACTTCCGACCAATTGCGGCAGACGATTCAAAGATTTCAATGAGGACGAGGATCTCATATTTCAAAAAGTGGTGCAAGGTAACATTGCACCCAAGGGCTCCTATCCATGGCAGGTGAATCAGATATTTCTTTTTCTTTTTTTTAATTTTCCTTCTTTTTCTTGCAATCTTTTTCAGCTAATTTATTCTCTAGATTATTTTCTAATTACATTGAAATCTTTATATTAAGAAGAATTAATTACCGCAGGATATTTTTAATTCTCATTCTTTCTCGCTTCTATTTTTGTAATTTTTTTTTTTTAATTTCGTTCGTAATATTTTCAGGCCAGTATTCGCGTACGAGGATACAGCAAATCAAATCATTGGTGTGGGGCAGTGATTATTTCTCCTTTGCATGTGCTCACCGCTGCACACTGTTTAGAAGGTTACAATAAGAAAACTTATTTCGTTCGCGCTGGTGATTATAATACGGAAGTAAGTGAACATTTCAGATCGATCTAATATTTAAAACGACACTTAAGAATTTAAGAATTTGTTTTAAAATCTAAAAATATCTTTAGATAGACGAAGGGACAGAGATCGAGGCCAATATCGAGGATTATTACATTCACGAAGAATTCCGTAAAGGCCATCGAATGAACAACGATATAGCACTCGTATTGTTAAAAGGACGAGGAATACCTCTTGGAAAGAATGTTATGCCAATTTGCCTGCCATCCGAGAGAATCGAGTATCCAGCAGGTCTTAATTGCACCATCAGTGGATTTGGCAGTATCGAGACTGGAAAATCAAGTAAATGATCGTAAAAGATATCGTTAATTTGTTAATTGGATGATTTAGAAACAGATCAAAATTAAAAATAGATTAATTTTATTTTTCATATTTCATTATATTTTTCTTATTTCATCAGCTTTTCAAAAAGAAAAATTGAATAAACTTTTCTAAGTTTGAGAATTTTCCTCGAAGTGTGATATTTGAGTGAATTTTCCTTAAGTGTGATATATTGATTTCATTGTTCGTTCTATAGCTCATTCCAAAGATCTAAGATACGGTTGGATACCGTTATTAGATCAGTCCGTGTGTCGTGCCGGACATGTTTATGGCGAGCGTGCAATCAGTGATGGAATGGTCTGCGCCGGATATCTTGATGAAGGTATTGACACCTGTGACGGAGATTCTGGAGGTCCATTGGTGTGCTTGCACAATGGTAACGTAACAAAATTGACTACAATTAATTAAATTTAATTAAATTAGTTACTTTGATAATGAAATATACTTATTCAAAGTTGATGTATTTTAAATAAATCTAAAAAATGATAAAGTATATCTCAGTATGTAATTTTGATAATAATATTTTTTTTTAATTTTCTCGAATATAGGTGCTTTCACGTTGTACGGCCTTACCAGTTGGGGACAACATTGTGGAAGAGCCAATAAACCTGGTGTTTATGTCCGAGTTTCTTACTATCGGCAATGGATCGATAAGAAAATAAAAATTTCCCTCGAAGGGAAATAAAAAATATTTTTCTAAAATCGTGATATCGATTTTATTGCAAATAATGACGTTTATGACGTACAAATTTTTTATTACTTATTACAGATTAAGTCATAGTTTAACATGCAGTTATTTTAAAATCATATTTTTCTATATATAAAGTCATTAGATTGGATTATGGATATTTATGCGTTCATGGAAAATTTAACTTTTTAAGTAATTAATAAGTAGATAATATAATAATATATACAGAATATAAAATAATAATATAACATGACATGATGATAAAGTCTCGTATCATTTATGAAATGGCTTTTCATGATGAGCTATAAAGTTTAAGGAGTTAAAAATGTAAAAATGTACAAACTGTACATATAAGGAATGTATAAAATATCCAAAGTAAAGTACTCGGTATAATACTTAATAGGTGAAACAAATTTTTATGTAAGTGCTATTTGCTTAGTTATGTTCCTAAAATATTCCATAAATATCCACAGTCTAGTTATTACCTGGATAATCATCATTACTATTGAAGTGTTGTTAGTTATTTAATGAATATAGCATGTTTAATAAAGAATTTTTACAATTATTTGATTATAATTTTAGTGGTTACTTTATTGGTAAGAAAAAAAGGATTGAGATGAAAAGTTAACTTACCTTTGCAAATTCAACGAAAATTAATGAGTACAATTTCAAAGAACACACCTTGAAGAAACGTCCATTAATTTGTAGTTTATTTCGTAAGACATCATCGTTTCTACAATAATTGTAATTGTTGTCTTGTCGCTGTTACATGTTTGAGCCTATTTATGTACAATAGTCCCAACATACTCGATCGGATGAAAACGAAAATCGCTGTGAACGGAAATTTTCGACACTTTTTTTTTCTTCTTATAATAAAAATCGACGTACAAACGATGCGACGAAGATAATAAAAGAAAGAAAAAATGGGAAATGACAATTATTGTAATCTACGACGTTGCAAAAATTTGTATGACATTAGTACGAAATCGTTGTACATAATCTATTCGGGTTACAACAATCGACAACTGGGGCCATCCGTAAACAACTTTTGTTATATTGACTTAAGTTGCAAAGTTGACTTATATTGCAAAGTTGGCAGTTATTCGGTTATATGGATTTTCTCCTTGTTTCAAAAACTCTTTGTACGCTAAAAATTGTTAAATTGTTTGTGAAAAAAAGGATTGAATGATAAAATATTATAAAAAAATTGGAAAATTTATAACAAAAAATATATTTGTCGTTTTTGATTGATTTGATTGAGCACAAGTACTTTTTTTGTAAGCAATGTATAATGAATATTAAAAAAAAATATAAATGTATTAAATAATAAAATGTAAAAAGAAATATTTCTCGAAAACATGTTTCTGTTATTGTGCCAATTGTGCGATTTTTATATGTAATTTTTTATATTATTATGCACAATACTCATTACATATGAGCAAGTATAAAATATGAGCAGATATAAAAATTGAACATTCTCTACTGTATATTTTATACAATTCAGAGTAAAACAAATTGAAAAAATTGGCAATGAATAAATTAAAAGAAGACACATTCTCATGCATTATTTCACATTTTTCTACACGAACTCAATCAGTTTTAATTCAACGTTTTTATAAATTCAATATCCTACGTATATGTATATCGACAAACATCTATTCTAAAAACTTTTATCCATGGAATCATATATTAATGATAAAATAAAGGAGGATCGAGTTGTCGATTGTTCAACTGGTTACATGGATTTTCTCTTTTTCCGCATTGAATCTTAAAAATGGATCGTATTCACTGTTAAGTTAAAGTAAAGTTCGATCGATAAAAAATCCGCAACGATCATTTTTGTTCCTTCTTCTTCTTTTTTTTTTATATTCGTATTTATTTTTATTGGAGTATACATCTTACATGTATATCCCCTTCATTGGAGAAAGGAACAATAGGATCGTCGCAGGATTGTTTTGGATGGAATCGAAAATTATAATAAAGAAAATGACACGCAAGCGAAGTTTAGCGAATCAAAGAAAAAAAAAAAAACACGCAGACCTACATAAACCTCTTTTATCGTGCAATTATAAACGCCTTATAATTAAGGGAATGTCGACCAAAAATACGCTTAACACGAAACTTAACGTTTAAGTCTAAACTCGAATACTCTTAATTTAGGCATAACGCGATCCGTGTTCCGGTTCTGATCAAAAAAAAAAAAAAAAAAAAATACGACACCTGTATATTTTATCTTTCCATTGAAGCACGAAGTTCATTTTTATTTAATTCGAATTAAAATTCTGGCAATGAGTTGAAGATATTTGATAAATACTTGATAAGAATGATAGATCGATATATTTGTTGAATATAATTTGTGATATATAATACTTAATAATGGACAAATTTTCTGAACTTTCATTTTAATATTTAGTAATACAATATTGAACTTTTTATCTGTATTAATATATTTTATAAATATAAGTATATTCTTCAAAAATTCCTTTTGGATTATAATTATAAAGTCTACAAATATTGTATAAAAATGATATACATGTATATAAAAATTGACATTTCTAATTGAACAATAAGTTACCGTGGCATATATTATTTTCAATAAATAAATTTTTGTTATTAATGAAACGAACATGTATTTGAACTATGCTGAAATTTGTATGTTTCATTAATTCCTTATAATTCTAATATAAATAGAATCTTTTAATCTTAATATAAAATAATTCTAATTTATAAAAGGATTAAATTAATCATTACTTTTCAGTCGTTTTTCATTTATAACTTGCGTATATCCTGCACGATATACTTAAATATACTTAAAAAAAAAAAAAAAAGAAATATTACAAATAAAATAATACAAATTTCCATCACATAAAATCGACTTTATCATTCCTCTAAAAAAAAAAAAAAAAAAAAAAAATATTGATCCAAAGAAATCAATCTCTTGATTAATAAAAATATCTTAAAAAATACATACATTCTTCTTAAAAAAATATAAATTCTAAGTTAAAATTTCGAAAAAAATAATCCAAGCAAACTTCCACAATTTTTCTTCCATCTAAAATAAAGCTAAGAAAATTGACCAGCACGTGATATCTAATTATAAAGAAAAAAAAATCCAACAAATGGATTTTATTTCTCGATCGCAACCCGAACACGGATCCAAACCTCCGACTAACGATCTAGTGACTAGACAGTAAGCAAGTGTATTCACTCCCAATCAATCAATCAATCAATCAATCAATCAATCAATCGTTCAAGGATGAAAGTTAGTTGGTGTGTGTACTGTAGAAGGTATCGTTAGGCGATCTCGGGATCGATCGATCGGCGATTAACGCGGTCGACGTGATCTCTTCAACCCACGAAACGTCGACCCACGACGACACGAAACGGCGAAGACGAAACGCAATGCAAACCCATAATTTCTTCGCCATCCTCGCGATTCCTCCGTTAAATTCGATTACGACCTATTTCCAACCTTACACCCTAGATAACGCATAGATATACGCATATGTTTATGTGTCATAATAATTATATATATATACACGACTTTCCTCTTATGTACAGTAATCGCAACTATTAGGGTTCTCGTTACGTTAGTCCATCAAGCCCTTGCAGGATCTTTGAAATCTTTTTTTTTTCTTTCCTTTTAGAGACGCGTGGCAGCGTTAACTCCTCTTGTCCAACTCTCCACCACCACCCATTCTCCACCCCACTTCCCCCTTTCTTCTCGAATCGAGATCGATTTCGCGCGTAGCAAATCGATCGATTTTCTGGGTCGTCCAACATTTAGACGAGCGTGATTTTCTTCGCTTTCGTGATAGAAAAATCGTAGAAAAAAGCGACCGGTAGAAAATATCGCGACGACCGTATTCGTTTCAGAACCCTCAGAAACATTGTACGCGCGAAAAGGAATCCTATTCTCGCGATATTTCTCTCAAATTTTCCCCTTTCCCACTTTTCGCTCAAGATACTTTCTTGTTATATTGAATATAAAGAGGTTTGTTTTTTTTTTTTTTTTTATATTAAATATAAGAAAATAGTATCGTGTAGAAAAGGGAGCGAGTTTAATTCTAATATCTAGGGGAGAATATGAAGGCTCCTCGTTGAATATCCATCGTTCGAATGGGTGCATAGTTTGGAGATTCATCCCCAAATTGGAATATTGGCAACGCGCTTACACACGGTAACACTTGTTAACTATTTATACTCCTTACGATAGATTCGTACGGTTAATCGTGTATGGTTTATGATAAACGTGCATGGATAATTGTCTGTTCGTTAAAATTCTAACGTGAGAATGTGATCGGGGATTGTCCGACTCCTTTCTTCTGTTTTTTATTTGAGCGATTTCTTTTTGTTTTTTTTTTTTTTCCTTTTTTTTTTCTCTCTTTAGGATGGATTACTATTATTTTTTTCTTTTATTGGTTTTATAAAATTGATGATGAGAGATGAGATGTCGGATTCGTGGATATTTACAAGTGTGTGAAGCGCAAAGAAGATTTTCGAAATGGCGGTACGTGATCCAATACGAATCGTGAAATTTTTTTTTTTTTTTTTCGTTTTAATAATCGTTTGTGAATTGTTAAAATTTTGTATGCACGCGTTACGATTAAGATTATAATTTTGGAATAATTAATACGGATACGATTAATTATGTGATGTTCAATTCGAAACGGAACTTAATTAATTTGAATTGGATCGAATACAGCTGAGGTGGATTTGGACGAAAAGCATATCGATTCGATCTAAATTACATTTCATTTGAGTCGAATGATGGACTGGATTATATTGGATTAGGCATAAGTTAGATCTCAATTACATCTAGATTAGATTTCGAAGATTAATTGCTCTGGATTTAAGTTAGATCAAAGTTCTTCATCAGAATGCTAAATTGAATTTTATGATAAATTCAAAATATATACAATGTTACATATCATCATCAATTTCGTAATTTTATTGCTTTATTGCTAAGTCTTTCATCGTAACACGTGCAATAAAAACACGAAGAAATTCTCATCAAAATTAAACTTTTCAAATTTTAATAAAACTTACGACAAAAACAATGTTCAAATATTGTTGATATATCTTAATCTGTGCATTAACGATGATATTTATTACACGATTTTCAAAGAAAGGAGCCTGACGTACACAATGTATATTGTGTGGCTTGATCGATGAATTATACTTTCTTTATTACGCGATCTTCGCGTAGACTCTGGTTCGTCCTCGTACATACGAAGCTACTCTGTTTCATATGATATACGTTTGTTTCACTTATTCGAGCCTCGTACTGAGAGAACGATCGAAATACATTCGTTAAAATTACTCATAGCTACGCAAAAACGATTAAAATACTTTGTTATAAATAAATGAATAGATCTTAGAGATATATAAAAAAATATTCTGCTATAATAATTAAAATATTATATACTGTATAATATTGTGAGTATGCACAAGAAGAAAAATTCGTTTGTTTCTAATTAAAATTGTTGATTCTTAAGTTTAGAAAGAATGAAAAAAATTCACAAATGGAATTTTTAAATTAATTTTAAAAATCATGATTAAAATAATGAAAATAGTTTTAGAAACAATTTTATTTCTCTTTTAAAAATAAAAATTTATTTTTCTCGAGAATATCCCTCTTAAGAGAATTTTTCTTGAATACTCACGATACGATTATATAAATAATATAGGAACAGTAAAAAAATCTGTGCTAAAATCTACAAACTAAAAATTAAAGGCAAGAAGTGCTGCCTCTGTTTCTTTCCCGTAGTTTAAATACATTCTATCCAATAAATCTATACAATAAATCGTAAAATAATACTAACTTACGAACAATATTTGTACATTTATCGAATACATTATTTAAAAGCCAAAGAAACTACAATAATTTGTTCATTCGAAAAGCTCAACTTGTTTCAAAAAAAAAAAACAAAAAAAAAAAAGATTGTGCAGAGAGAAGTGTACAACACACAATACGTTTCTATAAATAATAAAATTAAAATAAAACAATGTACACATTTTTAATGATACGTTTTACCATGCGTGAACGCATGTTTTTCCATATTTTATAAACTATGAATAGTTTTTCGCGAACAAATCAATGATTCACAATCATGCCGCGTATATTTCGACAAAAATAAAATTAAAATTCGATATTACAGACAGGGAATCGTCCAAATTAATATAAATTAAATCTTAAATGTCTAATGACTGCAATGGTGTTTCTCTCAGTACGCGAAGCTGCGAATCAACGAGCGGAAAGTTCGACAGTCTACTTTTGCATTTCCTTCGCACAGATCACGATCGATTCATCTTCCTGTTCGCGTGTCTCTGAAAAACGAACTTTCTTTCTCTTTCCCTCTCTATCTCTTTCTCTCTCTTGGTCCCTATTTTTTTCTCAAAATTCTTTTCCCTCTGGCCGTCATTTATCTCCTCGAAATTCTTCTTCCCTTTTTTGTCCCGGGTTCATTTGGAGAACGCATGAAACGAAAAGCATGATCGTTACGACTTCTCTACTCGACTGGATCTCCCCTAGATCTCCCCCAGATTTTTTTCTAGATTCTTCCCTCTGGTTCGATTTCTTCAATCCAGAACGAACACGAACGTTCATTCCATAGAAAAAAAAAAAAAAAAATAGAAAGCTTCGTTCCATCGATGCGAACGATACGCTTTCTCCTTTTCTTTTTTATTTTTCAATCGTATATCGATATCCAGTAGAGAGAATTGCGCGATACCGGTAAAATAAATAAAACTGTATAAATCCTCCTGTGAATTTTCCAGGGTATCGCCAACTTTCCATTAAAGTTTTTCTAATATATCGCTTACAGTTTACAACCGCGTACCGAAGTCGATCTATCATTTCTGATGCTTTCGTGACGTTAAAAACGTCCCCCGGTAAAATTCATCGACGAACGAAACTTCGAACTCGTTAAGTTTTCCCCAGCAAGCGCAATATTCGAAAATTATTTAAATATCATCCACGTGGAAATTTCTCAGCAGAAAAATTATCTATTACAGATACCGTCTTCGTCATGGAATCGAGTCGAATCATCGATTCGAGAAAAATTTACCAACTTTTCGTCTTCACGTGTGCGAAACAAATATTCGAATCTTGCGTGCTGGACGTCTCTCACCGCGTTCGAAACTTTCGAAAAAGAAAAAAATCGAAACGATTCCATCGTAGGGACAATGAAAACCTTTCTTTCGAAAACGGTGCGAACAGCTGTAGGACCTATGTTGTCCAAGCAAGTGTCCTCTCTTTCTAAACTCGTCAAATAATTATCCTCCCTTCTCTTCTCTCTTTCTCTCTTTTATGCCAATTCTACACGCCATTCTCGTTCGTTAAGTACGTGCACGACGACCGTCGTCTGCTACTATACGTGTAACCTAGAACCTTAAAACGACAACGTTCGAGCTTACTCTACAGGAACGAACCTATTTCTTCCTTTTTTTATCTTTTTTCCATTATCCTCTGTTCCACACTTAGGAGTTTTCGTTAGCGTATATCAAAAGGACTATGTACAAAAAGGGGGTCGACCAGGCGGACGAGACGTTTCCCTCGAATACGTTTCGCGTAAAGAGTGGTCGAGTGAAACGTTTTTCCGCTCTGGCCTCGGGCTTAGGAACTATACTTACTGCTACGCGATACTGTTCAGTGTGAATTCTTTTTTTTTTCTTTCCTTCCTTCCTTCCTTCCTTCCTTTCTTTCTTTCTTTCTTTCTTTCTTCGTTTTGACAGATCGACTTTGGTTTCTTTCTTGATGGATCGAGGGATAGGGGTCGTCGATCTGTCGACGATCTTGGATCGGTGCAGTCGAGCCCGATGGAAAGTTGGAAATTTTGGAGGAATTTATTCGGAGAGTTTTTCGATGATGAGATATTATGTGAAGAATTTTGATATTATATGGGGGAGAATAATGCTCGGGGTTGAATTCCTGAAAGTTTTATTCGATTATTAGATTTCGAAAATTCGTAAAGATTGGAGAATGGAATTTCGATTCGAAAATTCGATTTAAAAAACGTTTAAAAAATTCGTAACTCAACTCGATACGAAAATTTGTCTCGATTCGAAAAATTCATTTATATATACTGCGTTATATATATTCAACGCACGAAAGGTATCATTGAAAGGAAGAAGTTTAGAATCTAGTTTCTAACAATTAAAATCGTGAATTATCTACGACTGCACCGATTCTCCTAGTGTATCTAAACGATGTCCTTAAATGACGCGAGATCACTACGATGAATCATTTTTTTTCCCTCCCCTTCGTTCTATCGTTTATCGATCGCGAGCAAATCGCCGCATTTTCTGGATTTTCTTTTCTCCTCTTCCTCCATTTTTCATCGTCGTGCAGGCATCTCGTTCACGATTCAAGTGTTCTCCGCTATTTTTATCCCTCTCCTCTCCCTCTCCCTCTCTTTCTCTCTTTCTCTCTCTCGATGTATCTCTTCTCTTAACGTCTTCTCGCGGGAGAGATTCTCGGCTGATTAATGCTTGGAACGAAATTTTAAAAGAGCGCGTCCTCTGTCTCAATATCGCTCCCATTCGACGCGGTGTATGGTTGCTCTTTTTCACTGAGCGTTCAGTTCAGACCTGTCAGAGAGGATGTCAAAGAGAAAAAAAGAACGTAATTTAATTTTATTGAAACTTGTACGAGAGAAATTACGAAGGGATGAGTTTCCGTCTGTCTTTTTTCTTTTTTTTTCTTTTCTTTTCTTTTCTTTTCTTTTCTTTCTTTTTTTTTTTTTTTCGTATGACGAATATTAAAGGGGACTTACTTCAATGCTTTGTAACGTTCTTTCTCTGGATTGTTGTCTGGTGGTTCGCACTCGAACGATGCCAAAGCTAGAGCTATATTGTAAAAAGAAATCAAATTATGAAATAATTAGTTTTAACAAAGATCACAGGATGGATGAAAATTAAATTTCTTAATGGCAATAATTTCTTTGCAACGAAAGAAAGTGGTTACGGTTATTCTAATTTATTAATATCGAATGAAGTTATTGAAGATAAAATTGTAATCTCCTTTTTAAATGTTACTCTATTTTTCATCGATTAATTTTCGATTCAGTAATATTCTTAGCATTTTTTTTTTTTTTTAATATTAAGAATTAAAAGTAACTTACCATTTTCAGTCCACACCGGTCTCGCCTGAAGAAAAGCAATGACACGTGGATTCTTCTCGAATGGACAGGCAACTTGCTTCCAGGCGATAAACTCCGTAACCTGTTTCGCCAGCTGCCAGAATTTTTCAAAGTTAATATGTCCGTTTGGCAACCTGTAACAATAATTTTGCAAAAGAATTAATTTTTTATTTTTCAAAAAGTATTTTCATTATTTTATTTGAATTTGCATAAAGACTGACTAAAATCAATTCAAAATTTTCACAGAAACAAATGTCTCAGATGCTTGTCTTCTCAAGAAAATTTTATAGACAATAATTTCTATTTATCGTCATCTTTCTTTACAGAACCTGTCTCATCTCTCTTTAATCACACACGATATTCATATTAATGCTTCGAATTAAAATTAAATTTCATCCTTCCCATCAATTTAATCAATTTGAATTCCTCTACAACTATCGAAAGTTTCAACGTCAAGCGTTTCATCAATGTTTCACCATCGGTTAAGAATATTCTCGTCAAAGTATCGTGGATCGATATCAGCAACATCCTTTAACGAGCACGTTACTGTTTACGCTGTGTCAGCCATTCCTCGTAGAATAACGACCGCCTGTTATTTTGTTAAATTAATTTCGGATAATCCTGATAGCATTAGCCTAAGCGAGAGACACGGTGATAAGTTAATGGTTACCTCCATAAATTTCGAGCTAAGAACGTATCAATCAATCTTCTATTTGATATAAGTTATGATTAATTTCGATTTGATCTCGATCTCCTTTGTGATCGACATTTCATTTGATGAAAAATTTTTAAGCGAAATTTAAATAAATTATCGGTTAAAAAAGTGACGTGAAATGAAACAGTGGAAGAGAAAGGATATTTTGTGAAAAGAGAAATTAAATAAATTAGAGAAGAAAAATTAATTGTATCGTATGTTTTAGATTGTGTTTCAATTATTTAACTTGTAAGGGAATCGGTACGTGTATCTCGATTGTGAGAAGTTAATATTGAAATTGGATATTTTATCTAAAAGGAAAGTTGATGGGAAGAGTTGTAATTTCAAGAAGTGGGTTCAAAAGTGGTCAGCTCGCAAGGAAAGTCTCAAAAAGTTTCCGAGTAGTCTCTTCAAGTTTTATGTACTCTTTGAGAGCAATATGATTTTACGTGCAAACAATCTTGAAACTTGTTAAGATCCATCTTAGAAGAAAGAAGAATCAAAAGAAAGTAGAAAGGTTCTTAAGACAAATCGCAATGAAAAAATAACGAATCAAAATCGTTTTTGTATGAATAAAACGATCTTAACTATTATTACTCAAAAAATTAATATATAAAATAAACAGATCATCACACTTTCAAAATTATAACCATATATAATTTTTATATCGTGATTATCTTTCTCGATATAACATAAAAATTATCAACTCCTCTCTCATCGAACATAATTTAAATTTAATTCAAACTCTTATACACTAATATTAAATTTAAATTTAAGTTTCACGAAGAAGAATCCGAACCGAAAGAAACTCAATCCCTTCTCAAATCACATTCACTACAAATCTTCGAATACTCGCAATCGTCGTTTCCCAACAAAATTCCCAATTCCAAAAGAACTTTCAAGACCTCATCAGCCATCCACTTTTTCTCTCAATTCTCGGATTTTCTTCTTCTTCTTTTTCTTCTTCTTCTTCCTTTCCTTCTTCAAAAAAAAAAAAAAGAAAAAAATGTAATGTAATTTTTTCACCGTTCTCCAGAGCCGAGTTTCCCTCCTGTAACTAGCTACTGTAACTGAACGATACAACTCGCACGAGAAGAACACACGTATACACGCGCGAAAGCGGCGTGTTAAAATTACGAGTCGAAGTTGGGGCAATTTATCGTTGGGTCGGAAGCGTACGAATTCGCCCGCTTCCGGTTGCGCGACGCCCTGTCGCACGTAACAGACATTTACATACGCGCAACCATTCGTCTTTCAACCTCCCCCTCCCCCTCCCCTCCTCTCCCTTTGGAAATGGGGCCTGTCGATCGGTCAATATCCATCTGCCCTCGAGAAACCTATCTTTCCTCGCGATTCCTTTCCATCCGCCTCCTTCCATCCATGTCGTGGATCGAAATTCTATTAGAGATTCGATCCACGGACGGACCAAGGAAGGATAATTGCCGGGAAGAAGGGCCCCTTCTCCCTTATTAAAGATCCACGTCGAACGTATTGGAATGTATCGTGACGCTTTCTAAGGAAATTGATACTTTAACGTTATTCGGTTTACCGAGGAATGGACGGTTTATTGGAATGCTCGTGTTAAGGGGTTGTGGATAGTGTTCATAATGGAGTTGTGACCCTGAGGAATTGTTTGAGGAGCGAGAGGGTCGAGAGGGTAGAGGTAATTTTTTTTGGAAGGTATTGGTGAGATTTATTCTAGGGGAGGAGGGTATAAGATAATTCGTATTTTTTTTTTAAACTTCGACGTTGTATGATTATTTAGTGAGGTTTTTTTTTTGTGCTGAAAGAATTATTTAAAGAAATTTTTCATGTATTTATAGAACATAATTTCATTTTTATTAATATATGATTTTTTTAAATCAGTTTATCTGATTGTATCTGATCTGTTGTATAATGCATATGTAAAATCTTGAAACGACTATTATTTACGATATTTTTATGTGTTTTATGCGTTATTATATATGTATTATTCTAATTCGTTTTTAACTTATGAGTTTCCATAAAAATTTCCATTTTTCATGACATAAACAATCAACGATTCGACCTATACATCAAATTAATCCATTTTTCATCTATTCATTTCAATGATCGTTGCACAATTTAATGTAAAACGCCAATAAAATTCACTATACCAAAAATCAAACACACGGTGGATTGCAATAACATTAGATCTCTTTCCTCAAACAATTCTCAAAATAAAATAGAAATCAATCGTCCATAAATCGAAGGAAGAAATAATCTAACACACGTCCTTTTCAAACCCTCTTTACAATACCCATCCCCCTTCATCTCGTAGTCAATATCGACCTCTGTTCTCGATTCACGTATTATGCGAACGGCACGTAATACCCGGACATTTATCTACAGTCGGTATACATGCATCCTGGAGCAATTTGTACCCACGTGTCTCTATACGCCGATTCGTTCCACTGCAATTCAGTGAAACGTTCTCGCGATATTCAGACGTTGCTCTATCTCGCATTTTACGCGACTACATTCTTCCTGCACAAAACGGTACATAACCCATTTCGGGGATAATATACGCCATTGTGATACTCGTATGTGGATATACAATGATGGACAGAAATAGGGGATTATAATTTTTTCGTACTTATGTACTAAAATCTTGTGATAACGTATTGATTTGAAATTTTGTAACCTAGTTAAAAGAATGGTAAATATTTTTTTTTTAGAGTTTTTTTTATTTTATTTGTTTTATATGTGACTTTTTTTTCGATGAAATTATCTGGTTTAATTATTTTATGAATCGATTTTTATTTATAAAGAATCGGATTGTTAATATAAATGAGATACAGATACAGATATACATTGAAGTAATTGTTTATTACAATTGACTTATTATAAAAACAATTAATTTTTTAGTTTATAAATAACTAATGTTCTAACTAATGTTTTTTATTATTTATAGAAGATTTTTTATTACTGAAAATCTCGTGAAATGTTACTACTTAGTTTGAAATTTTAATGCTTTCCATTATATTATTGCAATGAAAAATATTACATGCAACAAAACTGTTGTATGCTACGTGAAGAAAACGAGTAGTATAAAAAAAAGAAAAGATACATTATTGCAATGCAGAATGGGGTATTTCGCACAGAAAGAAGAAAAATAAAAATTCTATTTAAAAGGTATATACTTTTCCTTCCTTTATTAATTCTACCAGTGAAATATTTCATGTGTAAACTAGGTAAGTGAAAAGAATTTCATTTCAAATTTTATTTCTGAATATCAAATTTAATGCAACGGCAAAAAAAAATGGTGTAATTGTGATATTCTTCTATTGTAATCTTATCTATTAATTGCAGCACTTTCTTAAGAAAATATCATTCAAATTCAAAGAATTAATTTTGAGAGAAAGAAACTTGTATCAACATAGAAGAAAAATCTACTTTAGGCGATAATTTCTAATTTCTGTGTCAAGATATATGCGAAAGTATCACACACACAGTTACTCTGTAAATATCATCTCGTATATGTAATACGTATATCCACGTCTAGAGGAGGCATCCCTAATGGAAATTTTTTTTCTAATGAAACTTCTTGCGGCGAAGCACGAGCCAAGGTTTCATTTTACCCAGCAATCATATGCGTAATGAGTTTTTCGAACGAAAAAAACGTTCTCGGTCACTCGTCATTGTGATTAATCAGAGCTGACCTATAAACCGTTGACTGAGATTATTAGACTTTTTTTTTAATGTAAAACCGAAAATCTACGATTATGCGTGATTGAGTCTGTTTTTGAAAAATGACAGGAAAGTTATTGAAAATTTCGGTCTATTAATTTTTCATCGTTGTATATATTGTATATTTTGATTCATTCGTTTTATTTTTATGAAACATTATATTTTGATTGCGTTTAAAATTGAAGAAAAATTAAAGTTTAAAATCGAAGTTCAAATTCGAGTATTTATATTTTAATAATTTATAATTTGATTTTTCAATAATCATCATCACATATATAAAATTTATGTCGTAAACAATTATCAAAAAATCGATAGAAATGTATTAAGTAATAAAGCAAATGAACAATTATTATACTTTTACGTAAAATAAAATCTTTAAGTAGTATAAGTCAATGATTGATCAGTAACGAGAATCCTTTGAATAATTTCTACATTTTTTTCACTCCAATTCCATTTATATATGTACAAATTCACCAAAGCAATTATAATAACTCAAAAATATTAACAAAAAATAATTCACGAGTATTTTTTTAATAGAAAAGATTAGATCAAGAAAGGAAAGGGTTTCGTTCTCTTCCTTTCTTCCTCAGCTCGTTTTCTTTTCTCGTTTTCTTTTCAACAAGTTCAGCTTCGAGAATACAACTTTTGCTATTACAAGTTTAATAAGTTTACAGCTGGGGCTGTAAGGAATGACATTGGAGGGGGGAATTTTTTTGCGCGCAGGAAGGACGAAGAAAATGGTACGACACATTCATCGTCGTCGCCGACAAAAACGAGCTTCCTGTCAATGTATCGCTTCCACGAGAACGAAATTATCGAAACTTCAAACTCGAAGGTTTCACGGATAGCCCGATAGGAAATGGACGATCGCGTTTCAAGAGCTAACATTCCGTGTCAACCCTCGACTTAAATTACTTTATTAATATTTTCCCTTGGATTTGCACGGTGGCCTTTTTTATTTGTGGAAATTATGCTAAGAGATCATTGCCAAGACTGAACGAACAAATTGTGATTTACTGAATTTAAGTTTTAGGTTTGTCAATTTTGTGAGCATTAAGAAGATATTAGTATTTTAAGAAAATCTTTTTCTTAAATTTTAGAATTGCTTTCGTAGTATTATCAGTAGAAGATTGATACTAAAAGAATTATGTAATATTTTATTAATTTGGAATCTTAATGAATCTAATGAATATTAAATTTTATTAAAAAAAAATTAATTTCCACAAAAAGCCTTCAGATTAAGGAAATAATTGATCGAAAAATGATTCAACGAAATCCATTTACTTGTATTTGGTGTAAGCTTCACGGAGAAGAGTGAAGAAAAACACAAATTCGCAAGAAGGAGCGTGAAGAGCGAAGATAATATTGTCGATTACGTTTCGAGATAATAAATGGTAATTACTCAAGGAAGTGATCATAAATCTGGGAGATTTTTATCAGAGATTTCCTCTTCCTGGTTTTAAATGATTAACGCGGGAGAAAGAGAAATGGGGATAGAGAGACAGAGAGCGGCTTGTTTTTGTACTCACTTGTTGCTGCATCCCTCGTTCAGGAAGTAGAGATCCTTGACCAGCAAACTGAAGAAGGGAACGACGATTCTCTGTCGTTCGTCCGTAGCGCCGGCGCTACGCCACATAGCCGCTTTCAGGGTGCTGCGATAGCTGCTAAAGTTGCTGCTGGGATCCATTTGGTGCTCAAGAATCGAGAATTTCGCCAGTTGCACCTTTGACCACTGTAACAGAAAATAATTTCGCGTATCTGTTAACAGGAAGGTCCCTTGTTAAGTTGTTTAGTGTAGTTGTAACAAGACCGAGAATCTCTGTACGCATCGGTAAATTCTCTTGTAAATTTTGTACGTAATTTCCTCCTTCGTATTTTCGAATTCGAATTGAAGCTAGAAATTGTATGTATTGTGAATATTGGAAACGTACAACGCATCAATGATACATTAATTTTAATAATAATTTGCTGTATAATAATAAAATAGAAATATTATTGAAACAGTGTGTGAATAATTTATATAAAATCATATATATATATATAATTAATTAATAATTCGTTAATAATTTTTATTCATTTAAGTTATTATTTGCCTTTATTTTTATTCTTCTTACTTTCTTCGATTATTAATTCAATTTGATTAAGAACGAAGCAAGTGATAAAACAATGATAAAACGAATATAATAAGATAATAAATCGATCATAGCCAAATGAAACAAACCAGTTATAATCAGAAGAATCCAATCATAACAGTCAACGAAACATTTATGATCAGACGAGTATGAAAAGACTATCATGATACATCCAGATACATTTCACTTAGAAGATTCAGAAATCGAATAGTCTATTTTAACCAAAATCTTCTCATTTTATGTGATAAACTTAATGAATAAATAAATATAAAAATTAATCAAGAAACAGTGAGAAAATTCGCAGACAAAAAAGAATCAATCAAATTTTGTAACTGATTCGTTCTCACGTTGTTCGATCTTCACTGTTTATTTTTTTCGAACCATTCCTTTTTTTAAACGTGCACGATATGGCGTGTACACGCGAGGCAGATGGAAGCACGAACAGGAACGTGTTCACGACAGACAATAAGTGCATCTGACTCGACCGTCTGGATACAATGCAATCGAACTGATCCCATTCCCTTCAACCCGATACCCTTCATTCCTATATATCGAATTCTATCCACCGTTTGCACGCTCAAATAGTTACCTTCGCTTTCTGACCCCGCTGCCTCCCTTTGTTCCTTCCCTTATCCCTTTGATTTCTACCAGCGCTATACATCCCTCATCCCTCTTCTTTCTGCATCTCTTGCATGCATTTGACCCACTCTCGTCCTTTCCATTCCTTCTTACGATCTTCTCCTTTCCATTTCCTTTCCATCTTCCCCTTTAATTCTCTAACATCTTCCTCAGCTTTTTCTCAATTTGTTCACCCTTTTTCAACCTCGTTACTTTTATCCTATTCCTTAGATTCGCTCAGTTTTCAATCTGATATTTTCTGATGATTTCAATTCGAATGCAATACTTATCCCTTTGTTTCCCTTTACGATTTCGATTTTACATTGAATTAATCGCGAATCTGTGCGTGAAAATGTTTCCTTTTTTTTTTTTGAAAGCGAACCATAAATTCGTACATTCCGATTTTATTTTCGATTATATTTGTATAAGGATAAGGACGTTTTATTGTTTACAAAGAAATTAGATTTTTCTTTGCGAGTTGATTGCGAGATAATTGAATAATTTTAAGTTGTAATAAGTTTTATATTTTTAATTAAAATGTTGATTAATATATAACGTGTAATGAAATTAAATTAACGAATTAGTATAAATATCAAGTAATTATTATTATGTAATTAATAGAAAGATAATAAATAATATTTTATTAATAATTATTAAATTTAATTTTTATAAATTTAACTAACAAAATTAAAATGTTTCCATCGCGATTTTTAATCAAAACAGGTTTTTATACAGGTAGTTTATAGGAAAAAATTCTGTAAAAAATATTTTTGATTGACAAACCAATTTTTCAGGAACAAAGAATTATATTTACTGCGGTATACGTAATATTTTTTTTTTTTTCAAAGCATGAAAGATTTCATGTTTATTACATCGAAATATAAATTATAGAACGAAAAAAAGAAAAAAAAATCGCGATGTGCACAATAACGGGAAAGGCGAGCACAAAAACAATCAATTGGATTTCCATTTAAAGAGAACGAATTAAACCGTGGCATTACTATCGGGCACGAAACGAGTAAACCAGGATAATTAATTTTACGCTTGAATATAAATATTCGAAAACGCGAAACGTGTCAAACATTCTATAAAATTCTATTATCTTCAAATGAAAAAAAAAAAAAAAAATCGAATCGAATGCTCGTACATCTAAAAACGATAAATTGCAGGAATTCCTCGAATTTTGGTGGAGCGGAAGATCCTAATTACATTCGTTAAAAGATAAATCACAGATTTTAAAACGATAAATTTCAATTCGACGATGATATTTGTTACGATTGCATGATGACAACATCACATTTCTTTCGATTAATATTTTTATTTATAAATATTGATGAATGATCTTTCGAAAGGACACTAGATTTATCAAGATAATTTCATAAGTAGTAATAAAGTGATTTTTGAATACTTTGAATATTAATATTATCATCAAAATTCATTATTACATCAATTTTAAATTCATATTTACTCGATTCTTCAAATCAATTAATTATCTTCCAAAAAAAATCCAAATTAATTGCACTTTTATCAACGTTAAAAATAAAAATAAAAATACTAAATAATTTTTTATTTCATATTTATCAACTCGTGAAAAAACGCAGAGTATCACCATTCTTGCTAATCAAATCATCTAAAATCGAGTGGAACTGAAAGACCTAATTGACGGTTAAAACGATGCTCGCCCTGAAACCCACGCTTGCTCAAATTAATTTATCGAAAACTATTTCACCCTCGTTGTACATCGGCTACACGTTAATTCGTATTAATTAAACCGAATTTTCGTTCAAGTTTTTGAGATGGCCAATTAAACAGCCTTGTGTCGATTTAATAGGATCATCACTATACAGTAATACGAAGTGTGTGGTTTTTGTTACATTTCGTTCTCTTTTTCTTATACATTCGTTTACATATTAATCTTCAATTGATATATCATTTGATCATTTTGATTTTATTAGAAATTATTTGACTTTTTATTGTATAAATTGAGAATTCTAATATATTTTATTATATATTATTTAATAAAATCATACGTTTAAAAGTTAAATATGATTTAAAATTTATTGAAAAAATGTATCACGGTATGAAGCTGAAAATAGTTGAAAAGATTCGTACAATATTTGGATTATAAATATGAAAAGTATTAGTTTACTGTATTTTTCCCCCTTTTTTTAAATTTGAGGATATTTAAAATTTGTAGTATTTATTGTTTTATTAATAGAAGTTTTTATCAGTTTGGAACACAGCGAAACGAGAAATTAATTGTAGAGATATTTGTGATGAATTTCAGAATAAACAAAATTTGAAATACGAATACATCCAATTGTATAATATTTCGTATAAAAATCAAACGCATTGAATTCCAATTATTTCTCTATAAAAATAACCACGAATAATTTCTCTGTACTGATCTCGTGACAATGATTTTTCAATTGTATTCCTACCTATTTTTTAAACCATATCAAAAAAAAACCCATCCTTCCATCAATATAATACCCAAGAATTATTAACCAAGAGATGATAACCTACATCGAAGATATCCCTCGAATAAAACCAAGAAATCTTTCATCCTCGGCAAATGCAAATGCTCCTTCTGGATCTTCGCGTGAAAGAATAGTCTCATCCGGTTGGAGGACTGAAATTCTTCAAAGATCGAGCATCTCACCATGTGCGTGAATCCAGCATACACACACACACACAGGGGAACGAGAAAGGGTTTCTCTGCTCGCCCCGAGGAGCCATTTTTCTCAGCCGCGCGACTCGATTCGATTTCAGCCGGGAAATGCTCGAGGAAAAAAACATCGGAGAATCGGAAGACTCCTGGTGGATCTCGTAAATTGAAACTGGGAAACCTGGAGAAGGTGGAAGGATGGGAATCTGCTGGAAGGATGAGAAAAGTGGCAAAGAAAGCCTCTCGAAACCGGGAATTCTAATTAGACAAAGCTGTGGCCGGTACGTGGCGCCACCTGGCCGCGTGATTTTGAAACTATTTCCCACGATTTTTTCTCTCGCTCGGAATTGGAAATGATAGCGTGTCGCGCCAAACGAGGGTGTAAAGAGGGACGAGATAGGGATGGAAAATGGAATTTTGCTTCTTCTCGGGGGAAGAAGTTCAGTTCGGCTTGATTGCGAGTTTATTTATGCGGGGGGAAGGGGAAGAGATTTAGTAATTTAAGGGTGCGGAAAGTAATGAAAAGTTGGGAGTGGAAATAAAGATTTTACGTTTCGATAGGAAACGAACGAGTCTGGTAGAGGTGAGAGAAATTTATATTCTCTTTGTTTTTTAATGTGGAAGGAAGCAAATTATTTTTTAAATTGTTTCATTTTGGTTTCGATCGCAGGGATGAAATATTGTGTTTTTTGCAACGTGATATATTTTGAAGTTTTACGTTACAGTAAAATGATATTAACTTTTTTTTATCGTATATGAATAATTTGAAATTATAGAAAATGGTGATTGCAACACGATAGTTGTTTACTTGAAATTTAAAAATTTAAATTTTAGATTTTTATATCCAAGATTAATCGTTGTTGGGGGTGTTAAATTATACGCCACCATTTCCATTCATAGTTTATATTCTCACAAATTATAACGAGGATGAAAATTTTGTTAAAATAAAATGAAATTTTAATATTTGTACATACGTTCAAGAGACTGAATATATTAAATGTAATTCCAATTGAGATATGATTCTCATGTGAATTAATCGAAGCTAAAAAAGCTTAAAACTGTATCAACGATCGAACATTAAAAGCTAAAAATTGCCGTTATAATATCGAAATGCATATAGTAAACAAATTTCATGAATTTTCAATTTTAACAGAATGTAAAGTCACGTACTTTTTAATTTTAATCTTAGTTCCATTTACGTTTATTTACGACCGCGATCCGTCATCCAACGTTTAAACCGTGGTTCGCCGATTTTCGTGTTTCCAGTTGATTTGCATATTAAAAACCCCATTTGAATCGGACTGGCGCAGTTTT